GCAACTTTGTTTTTGTTCCTATTTACAGCATCCGCACTTCTTTTGGTTTTTAAGGGCATAAATAGGATCAATGAATATAGTCTTTTTCCCAGGGATGGGGAATTGAAAACTACAGGGCATAGGTTTAAGGTCAGAGGGGAAAGATTTAAGAAGCAACTGAGGGGCAACTTCTTCACACAGACAGTGATGTGCACATGGAATGGGCTGCCGGAGAAAGTGGTTGAGGCAAGCACAAAAGCAACATATAAAAACCATTTGGATAGATATACAGATGGGAAGGGCATAGATGGATATGGACTAAATGCGGGCAACTGAAGTAGCTAAGTGGGCACCATGGTCAGCATGGACCAGTTTGGGCTGAAGGGCCTGTCTCCATGCTGTATTACTCTATGACTCTATAACAGCATTCTTATCGCAATAGTAAATTAAAAATACTATAAATTTTCATTGTGCAGGTATGGTACTAATATATAGGAACTCTGCTCAATGGACTGGATATTGCCATAATCCATAGAAAGAATAACCAAAATATCCATAACATACCTGAGTGAGTTCTCATATGTCGCTTCAGCTTGTATGTATCTCTGCTAGCATAGCTGCAGAATGTGCACGGGAATGGACGCTCCCCTGTGTGAGAACGGATGTGTCGCTTCAGTTTACTTACCTAATAAGAATAAAACAGGAGAAGTATAATGAAATGTGATATCTCTGGTTTACAAATGAAACTACTAAATAAGGAGTATAATAGAAATTGTAATGTGTTACTAACCTGATTCATTCACGGTATGATGACCATAACTGCCTTTTTCTCAATTACATCAGAAATGTGTGATCAATGTTTTAAACCCACAGTAGACATGAGGAATTGCAAGCAAACCAATTATTTTATACATATGCTACTATTTTCAAGCTTTATTGAACCATCAATACAATTATGGATGGCTGAAACATATCTGCTGTCTGCAGGGAAATCTAAATGCACAGCTAAGAATGACAATGAACTGGATTGATTTATGATGTAGATACTGCACATGTCTATAACCAAATGTATTAATTTGTTATCAGCACATCTCAAAATTTTAGACAAGGTCTAACACCGTATCTTTGCATGAATTATCATTATATGGTCTTCCTTCAAAGCCATATTCCACGGCTACCTAGCTCCTCTTCATCACTTACTTTCAATAAACTGTAGCCTCACCAGCTCTTTCAGGTGGATGGTTGGAAAAGATCCCACTGCTTTATTCAAAGAGAAACAGAGGAATTCTTGTGGTGCTCTCTGTAATATTTATCCCTGAATCAAAACAGACCACTTGGTCATTTATCTCACAGATATAGATGATAGCATCCTGTGTGCAAATTATTTGTCCGGTTTCCTGCCAAACAATGACTACACTTCAAAAATATTCCACTGACTGGAAAGCATTTGGAACGTTCAGAGGTTTCAAAACATATGGTTTACCATAGATCACAGATTAAAAGTCAACATCTGAAGTTTGAAAAATCCTCCCAAACAGGGACGATTTATACCCTGCGTGTAATATGTGAACCAATATAAATGTGCATCTGGACACCATTTTGAAATGTGGTTAAAAATGTAAAGCCTGAAATTCAAATTAAATCAATGCAACACTTAATTTAATTAAGCAAGGGGTTAAACCTTTTAAAACAGTCAAATTAAATATCTTCAGCATTTAATGCACAATCAAACTCTCCCTGAGTCCACACAGTTATGACACCATTGTAAATGTTCTCTCTCTGGATCAGGTTTAGCTCTTTCATTTTCCAAATCAACAAATTACCTTCCTCCTCATCCATGAATTGGACATTCCACATTTTTGAATGATCTGATGAAAGTTAAAACACTAACTGCATCTCTGGAAACCATAAAATCAAGGGGGAAGCATATAAATAAACTTTCTTATGTTCCCTTAAGAGAACAGGCCAATAAAAGTGTCATTAATCCAGACCCTTTGAAGTATCAATAGCAGAAACTTCAAGGACTTGAAATCTTTATCCTGCATAAATAAACATTGTACAGGTAGCAGAATGGGTCAGAGAGCCAGAGCTGTCAATCACAAGCAAAGTTTTCCCTGTGAGGTAGCTGTTTCAGTCTCTAATGGATGTCTGGGCTCTCTAGTGAGTGAGTAGGCATGGAAACACGATAGCTTGGCATACAGGGTATGAGGGGCTTTGGGTTGGGTGCAGGGGAATAGCATGGCATGGAGTTTTATGAAAATCCATGGAGGAAGGGAATGTGAGGTCCACAGGTTGGCACGGGGGCAGGGATAAGATGTGAGGAATTTCTTTCAAAATGTTCTCTTATTTAAATTATGTTTCACGATTCCTTTGAGGTGCCATGAACTATGTGTCCTTTGAAAGTTGTCCCAGCTCCACAATGATTAAAGAGGATTGCGTCACACTTATTGCCATGATGGAACTGGCAAGGCTGGAAGTGTAGACTTACATTCCAAGCCTGTCAGCATACTAAAACTAGAGCACTAGGAGTGGGTTCAGGAATCCTGGAATCACGTGCTGGCTGCAAATTTCACTCCTTCCCAGAGTTTCCTCAACTCCACAGAAATCAAACCCTAAGGTTCTCGCGTAGATTTGTAGCTCGGGTTGTGGATGCTGTGGTTGGTTCACTTACCATGCTGGTTCGTTAGTTTGCAGATGTTTTATTAACCAGCAGGGTAACAGCATCAGCGCAACACCAATGAAGTGTTGTTTTTTTCCTGCTTTTTATTTAAAATCTGAGGTCTTTTGGAGTTACCCTGTAGGGTAATGAAACGTTTGCAAAATAACGAACCAGCTCAGTGAGCGAACCAGCCACAGCATCCACAACCTGAGTGACAAATCTACTCAAGAACCTTAGACACCTACAGGCGCAACACACTCGAATTGGCCCGGAAATGAAAAACCTATGCTAAACGACAGAGTGCTACCCGCAAACAACTCTACTTCCTACACGGATGCCTCAGGAACCAGGTATTACCGTGCAGTGTTAGATACAAATCTCCCATCAACAACTCACAGGCACATAGGACTGCAGACCATAATGGCTGCAGAATGGTGAAGGTAATGATTAACAACGCCCACAAACAGCTCCACAGATATGACAGGGAAGTTGCACACCAAAAATCCCTATACCTAGGCACAACCAATCTACAGACTTAGAACAAGCTGTTAACATCAGTCAACAAAAAACCAAAACTAAGAAAAGACAAATAATACAAGAAAAACTAGCCAAACTAACCCACCAAAAGATCAGACACTTGGATAAGAAACCTATCTGACAGAAAACTAACAGACACAGAGAAAACTGTACTAATACGTGGACTCAATTACAACCACAGAGTCGCTAACAAGACAGAATTCCTAGCCACACTAGAATCCACACTGAAGACCAGCGGTATCAATGAGGAAACACAACAAGCCATAAGACAGACAGTGGTCCCAACATTGACCAGAAGGAATGAACGTAAGATTCTCAACACATCAGAAAGGAAGGCCCTAGAAGGACTGAAAAAAGACAAAAACATCAGAATCCTGCCAGCAGACAAAGGGCACATGACAGTAATGATTAACAAACGAGACTACTTCACAGAAGCACAGACGCTGCTACCGGACACAAATATATGCCGACAAGTGGAAACAGACTCAACACCGCAACTGGGAAATAAAGAGACAGTAAGAACTGCTGATGTTGGAGTCTGAGATAACACAGTGTGGAGCTGGAGGAACACAGCAGGCCAGGTAGCATCAGTGGAGCAGGAAAGCTGACGTTTCGTGTCGGGACCCTTCATCAGAAATGGGGGAGGGGAAGGGGACTCAAATAAATGGGGGGGGCGGTGGTGATAACAGGTAGACAGTGGAGCGGTTAGGTGGAGGAGAAGATGGACAGGTCAAGGAGGCAGGGATGAAGCTAGTAAAGGTGAGTGTAGGTAGGTAGTGGTGGGGATTGGTCAGTGAGGTGGGAGAGAAGATGGACAGGTCAATGAGGCGGGGATGGGGGGGGCGCTGGTCTTGGGATGAAGTCAGGGTGGGGAGATTTTGAAGCTAGTAATGTCCATATTGAGACCATTGGGTTGTAAGCTTCCAAGGTGGAATATTAGGTGCTGTTCCTCCAGTTTCCAGGTGGCATCGTTGTGACACTGGAAGAGGCCCAGGTTGGACACGTCATCCAGGGAGTGGGAGGGGGAGTTGAAGTGGTTCGCGACTGGGAGGCGTTGTCGTTTGTCGCGAACCAATAAAATCATCTACACACTAAAGAGACTCAAACAGACTGGACAAATCAACAAAGCAGACTACCTAAAAATGAAAACTGAAGGCACCCAAAGGTACATAAACCAGAAGTACCCTCAGACCCTAAAGTCTCTCTCCCAGGCATACCAACAGACAGGTTAGCCAAGGAATTACAACAAAGACTAAAGCACCTCGTCAACAACTCAAGCCACTCAGTCCACTCAGCCCAGGAGTTCCTCAAAACCCTCAAAGACATAAGAATAGATGAGGACGAGACCATGGTGTCCTTTGATGTTACTGCCCTAATCACATTGATGGACATACCACTAGCAAGAGAAATACTAGCAACACTACTGTAAGAACCGGACCCGAATAACACCATCTCCACAGACAACATGCTGAAATTACTGGACCTGTGCCTCACGCCCCACTTTACCTTTAATGGCCAGATCTACGAACAAATCAATGGGACCTATGAGGTCATCCATCTTTGGACTAATAAGCATAAGCAGCGATGCAGAGACTCAAAAGCATGGCCCTTCGGCAGATCCAATCCAAACTACGGATCCGATACGTGACCGACACTTTCATCATCATCAGATGGACTAAACTAAAACAGACACACCAACTTATAAACAACATTTGCACCAGCAAATTCACCAGAGAAGAAGAAAAGAACAAACAGCTCTCATTCATGGATGTGACGGTAGAATGCAGGGCCAATGGGAAATTTCTGACCAAAGTATACAGAAAGGCCACACACACGGATCAAGCCCTAAATTTCAACAGTAACCACTCCAACACACACAAACAGAGTTGTGTAAAAACACTGTTCAAAAGAGCCACAACACACTGCAGCAACCCAGAACTATACCAAAATGAAGAATACCTCCACCAAGTATTTAGAGACAACGGATACCCAAACAGCTGGGTCCGACAATGCCTGTCACACAAACAACAACAGGAAAATATGGTATGCCCTGACACACTTGTCACTTTACCGTATGTCAAGGAAGTATCTGACCTGACCACAAGACTCCTTCGGCCACTGGGCATCAAAGTAGCAAACAAACCTACATCAACCCTACGCCAACTGCTAACAAGAACCAAAGACCCCTTACCCACTATGGACAGGACCAACATAATATACAAGATTCCATGCAAGGACTGCGACAAATATTACATTGGACAGACAGGAAGGAAACTGGCTACGAGAATACATGAACACCAACTAGTAACAAAAAGATATGCCCAATACTCACTCGTCTCCATTCACACAGATAAGGAGAACCACCAGTTCGAATGGGACAACATCAGGAACCTAAGACAAGCCAAACAGAGACAATCATGGGAATTTCTAGAGGCCTGGTTCTCCACAAGAACGCCATCAATAAACACGTAGAATTAGACCCTATGTAC